AGAGTTGGTTCCACGCTCCTCAAAAACTCCTGAATGTGATTTGCTACAATGTGCACAGCATGGCGGGTTTCAACTGTGAAGATTAAAACTTGTGGAACTGAAGATAGCTCGACTAAAGCGTATCGAGAAAATTGTCCGAAAACAATTATTCGAAAAACATTTATTCGAATTGTAAATTATTTGAATGAAAATTAATCGAAAGGACAATTATACGAAAGGATAATTATTCGAAATATCTCTGTTTGAAATATGTTTGAAATACTTATGTGGTCTTTGAGAGAGTCAAGGCTGATTTACCTAGAAGTAATAACGACCCTGAAGGATGGCATCGGCTTTTTTTTTTTCAGCAAGTGTCATCCCATAATCTCATCATCTCATAATATGGATGTTCTTGGACGCTCTTAAAAGTGAACAGGACTTGCAAGAAATTCATATTGCAAAACTAAGAGCAGTTGCCAAAATATGAAGAGCCCTTGGGCACCTCGAATTGGTGTAATGGTTAGAAAGTTTGTCTTGCTAGATCAATTACGATTGAGTAGTGAGTTCGATCCTCTTTGGGTGCCCCATCTAAGGCGGGATTAGAAAATCAATATCAAGAGCGCCAAGAAATACCGCGACGTAGATGGAACACTTAAAATATTTGTGGCATTCTTTAAAGAGAACTCTTCAGTAGTTGACTATTTGCATACAGTATCATATACCTTAAGGTTATAAGGATTTTTTTCTTACCAAATTGTTTTATTAACGATATTTGTATTTCTAATAATTATCATTCGTATATTCCCCTCTTTTAATTTTACATTTTTATTGCAATAAAGAATCTTACAATTCTAATAATTATCATTTAGTATAATTGTCCCTTCGATTAATTTTAATTCAGACAAATTATAATTCGAATTAATGTTTTGCGAATAATTATTTTCGAACAATGTTCACATAATCGATGCGACCTAGCAGCCAATCTAGTATTGGATTTGATTTCATAAACTTTACGTACCAAAGGAGAAAAACTCATCAGAACAATTACAATGAAAATATTTATAGAAAAGGCACAGGGAAGCTACATTACAGCCATGGGAAAGTGATTTAAGCCAATATACCAGGACCAATAATATGGCAAATTTTATCCAGAATCTTTAAATATATAGCATGAGAACCGAAACAGATGTGGAAGCAATATTCAATATATGTACAAATGGTAGACTTATAAACGTGTAAGATAAATTCTGGCGCGAAAAATTGCCTACAACGACACAGTGAACCAACTTTCCTCACAGATTTAGCAATTGATTCAATATACTCTTTCCAGTTCATATCAATGGAAAACGTTTACCTAACAATGGGTCAATCTCCTGGGGGTTAGCATCAGCCATTCTGATGGAAGACAGAAAGTCTTCTCTTAGATGATGAAAAGAGAGCGGTTAACAGATGAAGGGATGACACTTGCTACAAAAAAAACCTATGCCATCCTTCAAGGCCGTTATTAATTCTAGGTAAATCAGCATAGACTCTCTCAAAGCAAAACCATATACGTATTTCAAACTATTTCGAATAATTACCATTTAGTATAATTGTCCTTTCGATTAATTTTCATTCAAACAATTTACAACTCGACTAAATATATTTAGAACAATTATTTTTGAATAATGTTCACATAGTCGATGAGACCTAACTGCCAGCCCAGTATTGGACTTGATTTCATAAAGAATAATTACCATGAAAATATTTATAGAAAAGGCACAGGGAAGCTACATTACAATCATGGGAAAGTAATTGAAGCCAATATACCAGGACCAATAATATGGCAAATTTTATCCAGAATCTTTAAATATATAGCAAGAGAACCAAAACAGATGTGGCAGCAATATTCAATACATGTACAAATGGTAGACTTATAAACGTGTAAGATAAAGTCTGGCGCGAAAAACTGTCTACAACGACACCGTGAACCAACTTTCCTCACAGATTTAGCAATTGATTCAATATAGTCTTTCCAGTTCATATCAGTTGGGTCAATCTCCTTGAGGTTAGCATCAGACATTCTGATGGAAGACAGAAAGGCTTCTCTTAGACGATTAAAAGAGAGCGGTTCGGGATGCGTTAAAATTCGAAAAAATGGTTTTCGAACAATCTTTACACGATCGTCTGAACACTTTCCATGGCAATAGTGATAGAGTAACGAGAAGCATACACTATTTCTTCTGTGGGAAAGCTGCTGTGTGGTAGAAAATAATTTATCACTCACAAGGCCACGTAAGCGTTTTTGGAGTTTTTGGTAGTAGTCGTCCATTTTCGAACTGATCATGTAAAGGTAAAGCATAGTAAGAGGAGACAGATTCTTTTTGGAGCTGTTACTGGGAACCGAGCTTTTTTTTTCCCCATCATCTTTAGCGATGGATCGTGTGTACGAATTCCACTTGAGGTCTGGCGTTGATAATTATTGTGTGCCTCCAATCAAAATTCGGCATTAAATAATCCAGCAAGGTTTAACATGTAAATTCATTCAATCGTAGCTAACCTTTTAAGTTTCAGATTTCTGTAATCTAGGTAACATATCTTCTTTATAATGTAAATGATATAACTCTTTCTGCTACTAACAGATAAAAAACTATTAATTTTAGGAATTTAAAAAAAAATCAGCTAATTAATTACACATTTACCTACTTACTAATGTTTTTTGGAGGCTAGATTTCGGCGGAGGTCACCCTCTCTGTAAATGAAACCACTATAAATAAAACAGGTTTAATACCATTTTATAAAAATTAAGTGAACATGCATTTTGCTTTTATTCTTTTTACATATGTAGAAGATGAAGCCAAATTCCAGCTTCGATATTTGTTCGTGACCTCTTCCCTATAAGCAATGATAATTAAACCATAAAAAAAATTGGGTTATTTTTCGATGTTATTCCTCTGTTGGATAATTGTATCGAATTAAAAAAAAACATCTTGAGAGATGGTTGGAAATATATTGCATTATTTCAAAAGAAATGAGAACATTAAATATGGAAGAAAATAAAAAAAAATATATGCACTCTTGTCTAAAGATATGTTATGGTGAAATCAAATCAAACCACAAAAATGTATTCTAGTTTCAGGCAGGGATGACATTGAGTTAGGTAATGGTTATCATGGTTCATCTGCATGACCATGTTACGAGGATGTATTTCTATAAGAAGGGACTCCACTGAGTTCTACTTGTTATTACAAAAAAGTTTTCATTCATGAAGTAGTTGTAAAATAGAGAAATTAGAAATAGAATGTTTGGAAGATTCTAGATCATTCTAGTATATTCGAGAAAAATCTAGATGATTCGAGAAACATCTAGAAATATGTAAATTAGGTGTTAGCCCCTATAAAAATGGGATTTTGGAAAAGGGTCGTTAGTTGAGGAAAAGAATTTCTGCTGTTATCAACTCCGGCTTTTGATTCAAGGACTATTTTATCCAGCCGAAAGAATCTCTATAAAAAGTTGCCGACCAACCAAAACCCAAAAGAGAATTTCATGGAGCAAATTTGGTAAATAGAATTTTGACTAATTTTCATTGACCAAACTAAAAATTAATATTTATTTACACACCTTTGTGGATTTCCAAATATAGCACTTAGATTACTTCACTAGCCCTAAAGTGATAAAGATATTTGATTCCCTTTCCTTCTTCCTGGTAAAACTCCGCCAGTAACTCTGTTTTCTGTTTTGTAGGCCACAATTGTTTATCTTGTATATATTTTATGTTCTGTTTTAGTAAATTAAATATTTGTTTGTGATTTAGCCCTGTGTTGTGGTAAATCATTTTTTCCCTTTGTTACAATTATCAACACGTAACAACCATTACTAATGAGTAGCAAGTTTGGTACACATTGTGTGCTTCCATATAAAGTTAGTAAATCCTACAACAATAGTTTAAGATGTAAAATTAACCAAACTAATCTCACCTAACCATTTAAATTTCAGACTTTTGTAATATTCTTGATAATGTAAATAATTTTACTTCTGATGAGAAATAAAAAATTATGAACAAGTTGATTAAACATTCAACTGCTTTGATGGCCTATTGGAAGTGAAAGTGTGAGGAATTTTAGACTTACCCTCGTTGAAACTTTATCCACATCAACATATTTCATAAACTGGTGATCCTTGTCATATCTAGTTGAATGTGTTTTACCATGTTACATGTCTGACCAGAAGAATTTACCAGAATGAATTAACAACACTAAGTCAACTGCAAATTTACTTAAAGATAATTATCATTAACAGACACATTTTTCTTTAATGCTTTTCTTCCATATTCTGGAAATAATTCAACTCTTGACTTGAATTTTATGAATGAAAACACTATTGGTCATTGTTGCAACTTTTTTTTTTTTTTTGTCAGGTGATATTAAATGGCTTAAATATATGGGTTCATATTCCTTGAAGTCTCTTTTCATACTCAAAGTTCAGAGACTGATATTTGGGGTTGTCATAATTAACCTTTGTTTGCCATCATCTGTTGAATGCTTTTAATAATGTTTATGTGTTCTTTCTCACTTTATTTTTTTCTTCTAAACATCGAAATCGGCTTTGAACGGTTTTGATTTTTAGTGACATAAAATAAAAAAACATGGAGAGGAAGTTCCTTATCTGCAGAAATATTTTCACTGTACCCATGATCACCATCACTTCTTGAGTAGGCAATCAAAAAGAACTACTGATGCTCTCAGCTGCTGGTTACAAATAGTTACTCTTTTAGAAAACTTTAAGAAGATACTGCAATGGTTTTAAAAAAGAAAAAAAGAAGTACTTGTGTGTATCTGTGAATGTGGATATGTTTTGATTCAAGTTTATGTATACTTTGAAGAAACAAATTGTAGATTTATCAAACAGAAAACTAACTTAGTAATCATGTTCTTCACCTGGAAATGAGTTTGAATTAATAAAAAAAAAAGGAAAGCTTGTTTCCTCATCCTATAATTAAAAAAAAAAAATGAATAATGTCATTCTTCACCCACAATCCCTAGCAATTGAAAATTACCCCTCTCATTCTCCTTGTCACTCTCTCACTCTCTTTGTCTCTCTGTCTTTGTCTCTCTCTTTCTTTTTCACTCTCTCTTTCTTTTTCACTCTCTCTCTCGTTCTTTTTCACTCTCTCTCTTTCTTTTTCACTCTCTCTCTTTCTTTTTCACTCTCTCTCTCTTTCTTTTTCACTCTCACTCTCTCGTTCTTTTTCACTGTCTCTCTCTCTTTGTCACTCTCTTTGTCTCTCTGTCTTTGTCTCTCTCTCACTCTCTTTGTCACTCTCTTTGTCACTTTCTCACTCTCTTTGTCACTCTGTCACTCTCTCTCTGTCACTCTGTCACTCTCTCTCTCACTCTCTTTGTCACTCTCTCACTCTCTCTGTCACTCTCTCACTCTCTCTTTTTCACTCTCTTTGTCTCTTTCACTCTCTCTCTTTCTTTTTCACTCTCTCTTTCTTTTTCACTCTCTCTCTCTTTTTCACTCTCTCCCTCTCTCTCTTTTTCACTCTCTCCCTCTCTCTCTTTTTCACTCTTTCCCTCTCTCTCTTTTCCTCATTCTTTCCCTCTCTCTCTTTTTCACTCTTTCCCTCTCTCTCTCTTTTTCACTCTTTCCCTCTCTCTCTCTCTCTTTCACACTTTCCCTCTCTCTCTCTCTTTTTCACACTTTCCCTCTCTCTCTCTTTTTCACACTTTCCCTCTCTCTCTTTTTCACTCTCTTTCTTTTCACTCTCTCTCTTTTTCACTCTCTCTTTCCCTCGCACCAAAGGAGGAAAAGCAAACTTGAATTCCTTTCCTCTGCTGCCTTTGTTCGTGTCCTTCTTTAGAGGTTTTGGGAGCTAATGATGAATCAGCCTTGGTGATGCTTTTTTTTTGAGTTGGCCAAATATTCCTGCTAAAAAGCTGATATAACCAGAAGAGGATGTTAGGCAAATAGGATTGTTTCTATTCTTGGTCACCCTCTCTCTGTGAGTGATACTTATCCTATAATTAAAAGAAAAATAATAGCATTCTACACCCACAATCCCCAGCATTTGAAAATTACCCCTCTCTCTTTCTCACTCTCACCCTCTTTCATACACACCCCCCACACACACTCTCTCTCTCTCTCTCTTTCTCACTATCTCTTTCTCTTTAACTTTTATTTGCCATTCATCTGTTGAATGGTTTTAATACTGATGCTGTTTTCTTTCTATCTTTTTTTTTCTAAACATCGAAATCAGCTTTGAACGGTTTTGATTTTTGGTGACATAAAATAAAAATCATTTTCTGCAGAAATATTTTCACTGTACCCATGATCAACATCACTTGTGGGCAATTAAAAAAAACACGACTGATGTTCTCTTCTGTTGATTAAAACGTTGCATCGTATTCGAAGCTATTTCTCTGTTGTAAAATTATATCAAGTTAAAAAAAAACAATTCCTTTCTTGAGAGGTGGTTGAAAGTGTATTGTATTTACAGTAAAGTCAGTGGATTCCCTCCATTTTGTCAATCTGACAAGATTTCAGACTACCATTAGACAAAAAAAGTAAATTGAACTTCCACTTTAGAATTAATTGGTTCGCTTCCAATTTAAAAAATTAATTTTTTCTCAAAAAAGAAAACATTTCGGGTAACAAAGCTCAAGTTCAGCAAACCTGATCAAACTATACAGGAAAAAAAAAAAATACTCCGGTTTCAGACTAATGCTACCTCCGTGATGTATTTTGTTTATATTGTAAATAATATAACTATTGCTGGAAAATTTATTAATTTTACTCTACTACTGAAGAAAGCTTTTCATTTTACACAATATTTTAAAAGTAAACATTTAGCCAGCGGATTAAAATTTTTCCTGATTATCCCCATGTCAGATGAGAATACTCATAGGATTTCCGCTATAAAAACAGGGCTTTGACAATTCTGTAACAATTAAATTTACACACATTTTCTAATGTATCTGGCTATATTTTTGAGATGAGGTACTGTAATTATTTGACATATTCACAACGTTTCAAACATTGTACGTTCCGGCTTTCTTCAGGATCTGTCCATATTTCTGCGATGAGGTATTGTAAATATTTACACTGTTTTTTATTGTTCCGAATGTTGTCATCATTTTTGTTGACATATTCACGACGTTTCGGCCTTTGTACGCTCCATCCTTCTTCAGGATCTGTCTATCTGTTGTAGATTAGTTTTTACAGTGGAGGCTTGTATTTCAATAAGTCGGTCCTAAAAGGGTCCGACGCACAAAACGTTAGGAACTTGCAATAATAATTAATGACGCAGAAATCTAGTTGTGATGGTTGATACTTCAATGCCCGACATCGACTGACTCGCTCAGCTCCACTGAGCCCAACTGGCGAACGCTACTACTACTACTACTACTACACTACTTATGTGTGGGAGAGTCTATTAATAATAGAATAGGTACGTTCAGATATAACACTATATATCTGAGATATTATAATTATTTACATTAATTACAAAGATGAGAGCAGCAATCCGAAATATTGTAAATAGTGTAATCATTATAACACTCATCTCAGGAATATAGACAGACTGTACAATAGCCGAAACGCCGTTAATATACTAAGGACAACGAACAACGTAATGGAGTAAACTAATACTCATCTACAGATCCTACTACTACTAGCAGAAACGCTGTGAATATGGCAGCAAATATAAGGATAACAGTCCGGAGAGTAAATCATTATAATACCTCATTCAGGAATATAGATAGATTCTGAAGAATGGAATGGTAGCCGAAACGCCGTTCAGATAAATAAACTTATAATACCTCATCTCAGAAATATAGACAGATCCTATCCGGAATCAATAGCAGAAAGAATATGGCAGCAAATATAAGGATAACAGTCCGGACACTGTTATTTAAATCATTCATCTATAGATAGATGAGAGTCTGGAACGTACAAGCCGAAAATATTGGAAACTGTCCGAACAACGTAAATGGAGTAAATCCTTATAATACCTCATCTCAGAAATATAGACAGATCCTGAAGAAGTCCGGAACGTACAATAGCAGAAACGCTGTGAATATGGCAGCAAATATAAGGATAACAGTCCGGACACTGTAAATAGTGTAAATCATTATAATACCTCATCTCAGGAATATAGATAGATTCTGAAGAAGTCTGGAACGTACAATAGCCGAAACGCCGTTAATATGGCAACAAAGATAAGGACAACTGTCCGAAAAGATAATGGGATCTCAGAAATAGACAGATCCTGTCCGAAGCAGAAACGTGAAATGGAGTAAAGTCCGGACACTGTAAATAGTGTAAATCATAATACCTCATCTCAGGAATATAGATAGATCTCAGAAAAATATGGCAACAAAGATAGACAAGATCCCAGAATAAGTCCCGGAACGTACAATAGCAGAAACGCTGTGAATATGGCAGCAAATATAAGGATAACAGTCCGGACACTGTAAATAGTGTAAATCATTATAATACCTCATCTCAGGAATATAGATAGATTCTGAAGAAGGCTGGAACGTACAATAGCCGAAACGCCGTTAATATGGCAACAAAGATAAGGACAACTGTCCGAACAATGTAAATAATTTTCTAATGTATTAAGGTGTTTGGAAATTAATGATGCTATGAAATGAGGGAACCGACCAAGGAAAAACGCAAGTTTAATGATAGGAAACTGCCTCTTGAATTAATTTATGGTTTCTTCTAATCGACAGTGTGTCGTTTATAGAGCATTTCAGAGTTTCATGAAGAAACTTGAAAAGAGTGCATTTGGGTTTCTCGTAAATCCCTGCTTAGCAACCGAACACAACGTTCCAAAATCTGCCCAACCTGGCTATGACGATGAAGTATATCCACGTCCTGGGTAAGACGATAAACTACATCCGACAGCAAGGTCTTTGATCAGGAGGTTTTGAGGAGCGTGGAACGACCTCTTGTTGGGGTTCCCAAGATCACTTTGCTCCGGAGAGGTAGCTCCTGTCATGCTCCCAGCTATGGGAAAATAGTTAACTCCCCAAACTGGGATCAATACACTATGAAATAAATTTTAATAACAGCAATCCATATTTTGAAGGAAAAATTATTACCAGCAATGCATTATTACCAACAATACTTCTTTGAAAGAAAAGAAAAATATTTTTTGAAGAAAATATTAACAATAAAAATCTTGTCGGCATTAAATAACCCATTGAGGTTGGTTGATATGCCCTAAAAATAAAAATATAAATATATATAATATATATATATATATATATATATATATATATATATATATATATATATATATATATATATAAAAAAACTTATATATATATTAAATAAACCATTGAGGTCCATATGCCGTAAAACAAACCAAACCAATACAAAATCTGCGGCAGTCTTTTAATCAGGAATACCAACCATTTATATTTACATTGCTTGGTTAGAGGTAATGAAAAATGGGTTTTGCTTGTCAACAGAAAACAAGAAACACTGGTTTATCAACAATGTGAAAATAGTATCAACGCCCAAAACCACGATTCTATCCGAAGAAGACCTTGTTTTTTTGTATGATTGAATATGAAACATGTCATCCTTTACGATCAACTGGAACATGGAAGGATCACCACTGCATATGTTTCAGGCCAGAAAATCTAGCCGGTTGATTAAGAAGTTCCCAACCTTTTTTTCGTCAGCCCCTACTTTCACATGGAAAAAAAATTTCACCACCCAAGTGTATAATAAATATTCAAAAGCATACCAAAATTATTTGGTCAATGTTTATTACTAGTTCATAAACTGACTTTATGATGTAATAAAAATACCAAAGGGAGGTAACAAATAACGCTGTCATTTGCGGTTGCTGCTGCTACTAATACCGTACGAAAAAACAAAGCAAAGGAAACTTGACTATTTGAAAACTACATATCTAACTCATTGTGAAATCCGATATTCATTTAATATATTTTCTGTTTATACGTTTATTTTTTATAAATATAATTTATTTAAGTATTTACTTAAACAGTATCAATTACATGTACCGGACTGAACGTTCGAGAAATTTTGTAGAAAATATGCGCTCTCTGATAGGAGTCGAACCTGTAACTCTAATGAGAACCAATATTTGATCTGACGTGCTGTCAACCATTCAGCTACAAAGAACCCTTTGGTTAGAAAAGTTCGAAGCTACTGGACAAAAGTTAAGGAACGATCTTGTTAATACTTGATTGTGAACAAAATATCAACAAAATTCAATATTTGGTAAACATCTCCTTATTTTCAATGACTTCTCTGCATCGTCGACCACATGATCTAATTAATTTCTTGCAAAAATCATCAGTAATTCCCTCCCATTTGTCTTTCAATAACTCCCATAGGTGATCCTGGTTTTTCGGGTTTCTTTTCTGAGCCCTTTCTCCAATTATCTTCCAAACATTTTCTATTGGATTCAGGTCGGGGCTCTGGGCTGGCCACTTCATTAGGGCGATTCCTTCTTCTTCAAATAAAGCCATAACCTTCTGAGCTTTGTGGCAAGGTGCATTGTCCTGCATAAAAATAGGAGATTCATAAAGATTATGGTGTAATCTTGGTACCACATGCTGCTAAAAAAAGCCTTTTGTAAATCTCAGCATTGATATTGCCATGTACGTGGATGATAGGGCCAACTGCTGCAGATGAAATCATTCCCCACACCATCACAATGCCACCACCAAACTTAACGGTTTTCTTGACACATTGAGAAGACATTCTTTCACCGGTTCTGCGGCGTACGTGAGTTTTGAACTCACAACCAAATATAGTAAACATGGACTCGTCACTGAACTGAACTGTATCCCATTGCTCGTCAGTCCAAACAACATGTTCTCTCTCGCATACTCCAGGCGTGCCCTTTGGTTTCGCTTTGAAATGAGAGGCTTCGAAGCTGGAATACGGGCGTGCAATCCTGCATTTTTTAACCTGCGAGCAACCGTTTTCCTTGAGATCTTATTATCTGTCTGTTCATTAAATTTATGGGCAATTGATGTAGCAGTTTCAAAACGGTTTTTTGTAGATATTCTAACAATTTTTCGATCTACTCTTTGCGTTGTTTTTGGAAGTCTGCCGGTTTTTGGTATTGCATCTAACGTTTTATCGGTTTTATACCTGCTAATTACACGATGAACGACACTTTTAGACCTATGTAAAAAAATCAGAAATTTCTGAAATTGACTTTTTTCTTGATAGCGATAATGAGTTGTTTTTCTTCATAAGAGAGCGTTTTGTGTGTAAAATTTGCCATATTGTCCTAATGATAAATGAACTTTTACTTATTGTTGAAAAGCTCCATCGAGTTTTTTAACAATGTAAATCAAAAGTTTATGCAAATTATTAACATCGTTCCTTAACTTTTGTCCACCCTAATCTTTATTCGTTAAAAATTTCATTGCTAATCATGCATTATTTTTTAAGTAATACACATATTTATCTCTTTGTTGTTTCCGTTCCTTATATTATGGCCGCTACTGTATATATATATATATATATATGGAAAGAGATAGATATAGATATAGATATATATACACACATAAATTTCCAATAGGATAGATTCCAGGTAGAACTAAATGTTCAGGACAGAGTAAGAATATAATATAAATAGTGTTTGAACCTTTTTATATCTATCTATCTATCTATCTATATATATATATATATATATATATATATATATATATATATATATATATATATATATATATATATATATATATATATATATATATGTATATATATGTGAAAAGTGTATATAAATATAAACAAATATATATATGTATAATTATTTATATATTATATATGGTACTTATTAGAAAGCGCTCAATATCAGAGATAGAGCTAACATATTTTTGTCTGACGATCGCTAAAGCGTGAAACCCAGGGTCACAAACTCACATCTATCCAACTAAATATATATATATATATATATATATATATATATATATATATATATATATATATATATAATGTATATTTGGGTAGCAGGCTTTCTTTTAAATATGTTTCGTTGAATATGACAGACAAGGAAAATTTCTTACATATTTTCCATTTGATTGAAGTCAGGGAGTGCAGAAATTGTTCATTGTCTCAAGAGTTTTTTTAGGCCAGTTCTTTATTTATTTCCACAGGGATTTGTTTTTGAGTGTACTTAATTTCTCTTCATGCTATCCAAAGGAAGTAAATATGAATAATCGAGAAATTTCGTAGAAAATACGACCTCTCTGATAGGAATCGTATCTATAACCATTCAGCCACAAAAGGTGTTTGGTTAGCAAAGTCCGAATTACTGTTTATAAACACACACCTTCGACGATTTTTGTCGATCAATAATATATCTACTCGCAAAATATTTCGATAAAAAAAATTATATCTGTAAAAAATAACGTATGAACTGAAAATATATTGAATAATTGACGGAATTAATCCATTTAATATGTTGTCATTGTTTACGTTAAGATACGTTTCGTGGGCAGAAATGATGGATTTTTTTTTGTTTCTTGCTTATTTCTTCC